CTACTACGACTACCACTATTACTACTACTACAGCTACAACAACAACATACACCATTGCGACCCAGACTTGTGTGTGTGCTAGGAGGTGTTTGGCTATATCACCATCAAACAGCTCTGCTTATTCTCATCCATCCTCAGTGTGCGTGCGTGCGCTTCTGTTTCACCATCTCCTTGGACAACGAGTCGCATCACTTCGCATCAATTCGCATCACCTCTGCGTGCCTGGTGGAGAGGCGTAGCCTTGGCATCCTTCAGCTCGGTCATCTGGACGGCGCGGCGCGCGTTGATCATTCTAGGGTGGCCAGAACAGAAGGCCAGCCCCCCAATCAACAAACCATACGATTTTAACACCACAAGCATTGGTGGTGAAACTGCTTTCTAGCAGAGGAAAGGGACCTCTATGTGCTTGGCTTTGGCCATTGTCTCTGTTTTTTCTTCAAGCTGAGGGTGAGGAGCTCAAAACGGGCCTGGAACCATCCAGAACACTTCCAACAAGACCCTCCGTTCGCCAAACACCGTTGGACAAAACGACTTCTCAACCTGGTTAGTTGCTTTGTCTTAGTAAAACAGCCCGGTTGTGAGCTGACGTCAACCCATTCAATCCAGAGTGTGCCATGAATCCTAGGGATCCAACCTGTTCCATGCCTTGGCCTGGCCGATGCACCCAAGATATTAGCTTTGGCCATTGGGCCATTGACCCCAAGCCCTCCGTGGGATTGGAAAATCTAGATGATGATTTACCCGTACAGTACGGCCCCTTGGAAAAACCACTCCAATACAGTAGGCCGACATGCCAGTCCCACTTGAGTGTCTGTTGAACAAACACTTCAGCACCCCAAACTAAAACCATCTTGTTGTAGCTCTTGATGTCCCATTCACGGCAACCTCGAGGATGTCCAAGGCATCCAACCTCCAATTAGAAAAAACACAGAACCCCCATCCACACATCCCAGCCCAGCTGGGTATAGTATATTGAGGTGCTTCTTTTACATGCACTCGTTAACATATATAAATATGTATTATATATATATTAATAACATTTAACAACACACATCTATACAGTCTATTGTGTCACGGCAAACTCATGCCAATAAGGTGCCTGCTGCCTGAGTGATTGGCCATCCACTCGCCTCCACATCACTCTCCGAGGCCACATCAATGGTCCCTGACTGAGCCGCATCCGCCGCGCTGCCCGCGGCAGGCGCTGCAGTTGAAGGTGCAAGTGGTGCAGGAGGCTCTGTCTCCGAATCCTGAGAGCAAGGGATGGGGGAACTTGGATTTGCGGCTCAGGAACCAAGAAAAAAACATGAACAAACTCTCGTAGGTTAGGGGTTTTACATGGATCTACCAGGAAAAGATATGAACAGATTCCCCTAGGTTAGGGGATTTACATGGGTTTACCATGGTGAAAACCCGTAGCGGAAAAATGACCTTAAGCAAAACCAGGTGAAACATGAGGAAGATGTGTCCATCTAGATTGGGCTGGACCTGGCTAGTGTGGGGTATCATTAAACGAAAACTTCGAGCCGAGTAAAAATCCCCGGGATGCACAAAAGACATGTACTACACGGAAGGACGGAAGGCGCATGTGGCCAGGTTTTTCCGGGCACCTGGCCTTCGGCTTTCTGGAGATTAAACCCCTATGGATCCACATACCTTCTCAGAAGGCAATTGGACCTTCCAAGCCTACATACATAGTCTCCAAGCACCTTCTCAGAAGGTATGTGGATCCACTGGGAACCTGAGATGTGCAAAATGAACAGTCACAAACCTGCCCAGCAAGCAATCTCAGTACGTTTCAGAGCGGCACTTGTGCACCAAAAATGTCTTAGACAAATGGGGGTCTTTGTACAGCTCCTTTTGGGGATTGCGCAACCTACTCTCAATCTAGTTCTATCCTATTACCAGTAAAAGTTGATAATGATGGTTAGGTTGCAGGCCTTGTGCAAAGCCTGTTGGCTGACTGTTACAGGTAGTCAGGCAAACCCAATTGTATACCCCTAGTGGGTTGATGCCATGTTGACCTGGTTTTTGTAGTGTAAAAGCCCTTAAAGTAGAACAATGGTTGTTTGGAAAAGACCATTGAAACAATGACGGGCCAGGAATCCCAGGGGCATACAGTCTGATGATTCCTCAATGTGAGGGGTCCCTGTCCTGTCAGGATATCGGAGCCTTAGGCAGCCGTCTCGGCAGCCGTCTCGGGGTGTAGCTGTGGTGGCCATGCGCCAATGCACCGATCGGCCACGCGGTCCACTCACCCCGACGTTCGCTCCACTCACCTCGCTATCCAGCGCAGTCGATGCCACACTTCGCGGCGTCGCGGGGGACACGAGCAGCGCCATGGCTGGGTCATCGGCTCTCTATAATAGGGGGAAGGCTCCAAGGTGGCTACTTCAATCACTTTGGTATTTTCCGGTAGGCTCTCTAGAACCACCGTAGAATCTTGGTCTCTATCATGTCTCTATCTTTTTCCATTGGCTCTGGGGTAGTGGCTACAATAGTTTGGGGCACTGGGCACTGTGCACCCAACTTTCTTTTTGGTTCCATGTCTTGGGCCTTGGGGTGGTAGACTTCAAGCTTTGTCATCCGCACTTCTATCCCCAAAAAGACTGTATGCCTGAGAAGGAGGGTATGCAGCACGCAAAAGCTTCTTTTGCGCACGCCGCTAGGAAGCTGTTTCCCTACCCTGGCTTTGGTGGTCCGAGGCTAACAGCCATGCTACCGCAGCTCTGCTTGATTGGGGCTTGAGGGGTTCAGTGCCCTTTGCTCCTGGCTTACTTGAAGTCCAACAGCCACAAGAGCCTCCTTCATGGTCCAATCACCAGGTGCCAGGCTTTTCATGTGAACAATCCGTCGAGACCAAGAATCCGTCGAGAGGGACCGCTGACATCATAGTGGGGAACATCCAACACACCAGCAGGCGGATTGCACCAAAAAGGCATCAAACATCACCAAATGCAGCAAATTCTTGACATGACCCGAAGAACCCAAGATTCGTGGGTGCCCATCATGGAAACTTGAAGTGCCCACCAAATACCTTGGTGCCCTTGGAAAGTCATCCTTCAAACAAAGCCATTGGCAAGTCGTTCCAACATCGTCTCTGATAAGTCCGGCCCATCCCGGGTGGACAGGCGTGCCATCGCTGCTGCCATCGCTGCTTCCACGCGGGAGAACCCCATCGGGTCACCGTGAAGACGCACCAGAAAGCTGCAAGCAATGCTGAGAAGCGGTTCCGCTGGGCAATGGAAAAAGAACACAAAACCGCAGAATGGAACTGGGCAACTCCCCCCAAAGAATCGACTGTCGATCAAATAGAGCCTCTCCAGCAAGTTCTCTGCACAATCCTCTGAAGTAAGCCAAAGCAGGGATCCAATGCGTTGAAACAGTAAACAGTAGTTCTTTGCCCTGAACTCATCTTCATCAAAGGATAGTTCGGATAGTTGATGATAGTTTTCTTGAAAACACTTAAACTCATTGGGCCGCATTGAGCATCAAAGGAGCATCGCCAACTGTATGGAGTCACGCCAAGTTTCTTGCTCAAACAATCTCCAACATGCGCCATGGATATGACAGTAAAAACTACTTCCAACATCTCCTGAACTGCATCTGGATATGAGGACACTCCCTAAATCAACATGCCACATGAACAAGCAAACACAGGGACATCCGCTTGTTTGTTGGGCGTATTTTCCTGCCAAGCGATGACGGATTCCTGATCGCGGCGCCAAAGAACTCATACCCAAACACTCCATGGCACTGAAATATGTCCACCCTAAGAATCCTTGGGCTGTCCATGGCGTCGGACCCGACACCTTCGCAGGGGTCCGGGGCCTCAAGACCCTATCTCTTTGAGGGTGCGGATTCTTAGGGTAGACTATGTTTGAGAGCTGCGTGTGAACTACTTCTAAACGCTCGGAGCTCCCCAAGGCGCTCGCCTCTTCGATTCCCCCCGACCGATGGCACCTCCGGATGTTTGGGGTGCCAAAATCACCCCTTTTCCCGTTCCCCCAACCTGGACCTTCAAAGGGGTGTCCTGGCTGGAGATCCCGGATGGTAGTGGGCTGGGGCGAAACCAGCCAGGTGACCCCGTCATGAAGGTGCTGGAATACATGTTGGTATATGTGTGCGTCAATCTGCCAGTTCCGTGGGTGCTTGGGGTTTATCAACGTCCGTGGCTTGGAGTTAACCAGGTGTGCACGAGCTTGGAGCTTGGAGCTGGTATGTGGTTCCATCGCGGACCAGAAGGCTGCACCCCTAGGAATCCTGGCTCTGAATCCTTCAGTTTCCCCAGCACATAAAGGCTATCTTTGTTGATCTTTGTTGTAAGTGTTCTTGTTTCGTGGGGAAACCACTCCCCCAAACGGGCTATATATATATATATAAGTTATAAATATATATATATATATATACAAGGATCCACTAGCACTGACTGGGTATGTCATTGCTTCATTGCTTTCAATTGTTTGTTGATCGGAACCGAGCTGCTTTAATAGTGCCCTTAGACGGCCCCACAAGACTGGGTCAACTGCACTCTTTTGACGGCTAGAGGAAGAAGTTCGTGGAACTTCTTTCGACATCAAAGGGAGAATCTGAACGCAGCCACCGCGCCACGCCACCGCGCCACGCCACCGCGCCATCCCGCGCCGTCTTCCGCGGCAACGCCTTTTACACGAGTGACGCACCGAGGCATTTCTGTGACTGCTTGGAGTCGTGGACCACCACAATCTGTGCTTTGCTTGATGCCGTGACCTCCTTCTTGGAGGAAGCAGGGTGCCCCTTAGACTTGGCAAAGCCACTTCCACTGTTCTTGGAATTGATATTGATTAATAAGGCACATCAGCCGCCACGGACAACTCCAAACAATCTGCCGGAACAGGACACTGCAACAGCAGCCCTTGCACCATCTGCTATCAGATCCTGCCCCTCAGGATCTTTCCCAACGATCAGCGCCAGCACGAGGGCACTAACTAGAGTTGGAACCTTTAGGCAAACAGAACAACAGCCCAGGTGCATCTATGTGGTGTTGCGAGCTTGGGCCAGCATTAGAGAACATTCATTGTTTGGACGCACGTGCTCAGAAGTGAATATTACAAACAGTTTGCGCATGACGGGAGGCCATCTTGCTGGCAACTCCGAACGTGACTAGGTGAAACATATTCTAAAATCCACGCGAATTCTACTGGGGTGAGCCCAGTCTTGTTGTTTGGGATCCACATGGTCTGCGCGTTTGGGTGCCTTGGCCTGAGGGCACGCACTCGTATGGGTGATTCTGCCCGCAAATTTGAAAGAACCGAGTTAAGATTCCGTGAACGCCAGCTGAGGAAGGGGCAGAAATACACCAAGGAGTTCATAGAGGCCAACTGCAAGTTGGTGGTGGTTCAGGGTGGCCAGCCACTTATCCCGACCCGCTGAGGGGGGTCCATCCCAGCTGCTCAGCTGCTTCAGAGCTCTTCGGTGACGACCCGCTCTTTGGGAGCCTCAGTTGGGTTTTGACCCCAGGGGAGCTTGGTTGATCACTGACCAGCCCAAATGAACAGAATAATTAGACTGGACTTGGGAGGTCCTACCAGGGTGTAGACTGGGCCTACTAGGAATCTACTAGGTGCCAGGACTCGCCATTGAGGCACGGAAGCATGGAGTCTCCCCCCATTAAGCGACTGCCACGGTCTTGGCTGTCTTGGCTCGTGAAACGAATGAGCCCTCACAGGTCATGTACCAACCGTTTTAGGGGTCAATGTAGGTAAATATGCCATACATGGAGTGTCTGGGCAATGACGTCTTTACCTCGAAAAAAGAACGGACTGCTCTTGTCGTAGTTGAACGGACTCCTCGTGTCTTGTCTCACTCGCTTCAGACGACCTTGAGACCTCGTGGTTCCCCCCACAAATGGCTGCTCAAGGCTCCCAGTTTTCCGGTTAACATGGTTAATCATATTGTTAAATCACTTTAACAAGCGAAGTGCCAGCTGCGGTCACCAAGGGGTCACCAATGGACGCCGACACGGACGTCCTATGGTCTCCATGCGAGCGCCCTGACTTGAAGCGTTAGGGCCGTTAGGGAGGTTGTTTTGACCATTGATGTAGGGCCCTGGAAGACGATCGCATGGATCCAGAAAACCACTGGTTGGTAAAGGAAAACCCGCTTTTAGGGGGTCATTGTCAGGGTCTATGTGAGTTTTCGGGAGTGTACGTCCTTCCTCGTCCTTCCCCACTCGCACAAAGAGGGACGGACCCCCAACCCCCCCGCCCGTGGGCGCCTGGCGCGACGGAAAAGTGAACCTCTCATCCGCCTGGGTCCGGCGTCGCACTGGCCTGCCACCTGGCCAGGAGAACACCACCTACCTCTGATGTGTGAGCTTGGCAACCCATTTGGTGTGTGTTGGGGTCTTGGGGGGGAGTGACTGCAAACAGCTTCGCTCAAGTTATAGTCGGACTTTAGGCCACTACAGCCTTTCTAGGTATCCTTCTTGGTGGCTGCAGGGTGCCCATCCTGTCCTGTTTCCTGGCAAAGCTGCTCCCCGTAATCACGGGCACGTTCGCGCGCGAACGTGCTATCGCGCTGCTTGCGCATCCCCTAACTAGCTATTGCATGAGACTAGCTAATGTGCTAAATTGACCACATCGAGTGCATTGAATTGGTTCACGCTCCTGCGCTCTTCTTCTGCTCATATCCATCCTCCTCGTGAGGACCTTCCGCCTTCCGCTTGGCGCGGGGGAGGCTGGTCTTCTCGAAGCAGCGGGTGGGGCGCTCGCTGTAGCGGATGGAAGGCACTGAGGCAGAGGCCATGAGCTTTTGGATGCCATCCGCACCATCAAAGCTGTAGGTTCCCTCTGATGACCCCACAGGAGAAATGAAGGTCACTGGAGCTTTGGGGAGGAACTGCAGGAACTGCACGAGTTCCAAGAAGGAGCAATGATCTGAGTATAAGTAATGGAACACCCCATCATCACTGACCTTGGGTTTGACGTCCAGAAGCCAAACAAATACTTTTAAAAATCCAAAAAGGTTGAAGATTAACCACTGCCTACAGGTCATTTGGACCTGATTTTACTGGAGTTGCTCATCCAAAGAGACTTCTTCTCAAGGAGGTTGGACCAGGACCAGGAGACTGGACCTGGGACTTTGGACTTCGAGGGGCTGACTGGGAGTTCGTTCTAACAACTCACTCGAACATGGCGCTACCAGGTGACCGCGACCAGGTTCTCATCTAAGTCTTCGCAGCTTGGCATCGACTCTTCCTTTCGGGCTTGTTCAGCCCAGCCAGTGGCACGAATACCTTGGGTTGAACACAGTCCAGGAACCAGGACCAAAAACACCTGACTCTTCCGTCGTCCTCCATCCAGGGGGGTGGAAACACACAGAACAACCTTTAAAAATCACCCAAACTCGGCCAAAACCAGGAGACCATGGAATGCACATCCCGAATCGCTCGCCTGCCACATGCCTTTCCTCAAGTTTTGCCGAGAGATGGCCCAAATGCAGCCCCTCAAGGCCTCCGTCTGCAGCAAGTCCTCGGAGGCCTGCAAGGGGTCGCAGCTTTGAATTTGCACCTGGTCACTCTCAAAGCCACACGCCCTCATGGTTTTCTTCCTCTCTTCGGAGACTAGAACTCGGCTTCTCAACTTCTGCGCCAGGTGAAGCAGTAGCGTCTCCTTGCCCAAACGATAGCTCTCGACGAAAATGATGCAGGGCCATTTGCGCCGGAAGCGCTTGGAGATAGCTGCTGCGACGTCTTCTCGGCTCGGCTGTTGGAAGCGAGGGTCGCAGAAGGTGTTGTCCAAATAGATGCGTGAGAGCCCTTTGTCTCCTTGGATTTGAACATATACATAATCGGGAACTGGGAAGAAGACAAAAACACCTCCCCCACACTCAAACAACCCTTGGACCCAACACCCTCGGGCCTGTCTTTGAAAAAGACCCAAAGTTCACCTGCAAAAAAGGCCCAACCAGGTCTCTCACAGGTGCGAGCGAAGCAATGTCTTGATGCTTTTCATGTAGTCTGAAATCCCCGGTGTACAAGACACTTCCAAAATATCCGAAAAAGAGAAACATCACGGACCCCGGAACGTGGTTTGCATCTATGAGGTAGACTTCGATCTCCAAGCCATCCATCAATGGAATCTGGTAGGTTCGCCCAAGCTCCAATGCAGTGATCTCCAAAGAGGGCCACTTTAGCAGAAGGAGTTGTCTTGTAATGGCTGAGGCGAAAAGCGGACCTTTGCGCCACTTTTTATTCAATCCTTTCAAATGGTCTTCATGGGCATGGCTGCAAAAAAAGAGCACACCCCCATCATGGTTGAAGGAATCGACTGCGACTGGCACTTCCTCCAGAAGCATGGCGAGACTGGCTTTTGAAGCCTTCCTCGTGTTCTTGAGCCGTGAAGGCACCACATGGCATAACAATCCCCCATGTCCTACTCAACATTGGAATCATCCTGGACCTCCCTTTGCAGCAGTGGTTTTCTTTAGACTCCGACTCACTAACATGGAAGTGGATATCCGGATGGCATGGTTTTTCTGAAAGACCCTGTTGTTTTCTCTCCCGAAGACGCTCAGCAGCTGCTTTGTCACTCCACTTCCAAGTGATCCTGTTTTCTGTTCAGGCCCCTAGTGACTAACACTGGGAAGATCTTCCGCGGCTGAAACCAACTCCTCTTCCAGTTCCATTGGTTCTCATCCGGGGCCGCCTCTTGAGTTGCCCCGTCTTGCGCTTGTAGGCGCCTCAGTGTCGCTCGTCCGGTGTGCCGACCGTCCCCGGTTCCGGGGGGATCCCACCCCTCCGGACGAGAAGGACTTCGGGGGACGAACAGCGTCCAGGAGGATGAGTGGACGTCAAACGATGGTTTGGATTCATTGAGAAGCGCCATTGGGCTCCCAGAATGGGTATCATGATGTATCATGATAGATCTCCCCCCAAAAAACGGGATCTTTCTCTGAACAGGCCATTCAGTTGAGATTCTAGGGAGACTCCATTCAGGCGTTAGGCTTCGGACTCCCCAGCTGCAGTCACTCCGCTTCGTTGGGACTCCTTCCAGCTGCTCCGCTCTACTCTACCGCTTTTCTAAGACCCTCCAAGCAGTCGCCAATCAGTGATCGCTGGACCCTCCTGTCGGGGTGTCCTGGCTGGACTACCCCACACTACCTATAGGCTTCCAGACAGGGCACCCCTAGTTTGGAGGGTCCTAATCTAAGCTTTTTTCTGGAGAGTTTAAACGTTGTTCAATCCCCTCCTCCACCATTCCATAGGAGTCAACTGCAGTAGTCACGCCCAAATGGGGTTGAAAAGTACGAACATGTTCTTACCAAAATGAGAGCACCAAGTATTTTTGGATGTCCACCTTCCAATCTGGTCAAATGCAAATCCATTCAATTCAATGACGCGGTGAGCTAGATTGTGAGCTGACGCAGCGCAGGCTGTTCTTGGCTGGAGCCGAATTGATCGGATCTCTTCCTCTGGTTCAGGGCGAAATCCAGGCTTGCACGTCAGGTGGCCCTCTTGGGGCGTTGATTGATGTGGAATTTTGTCTGTCAACTAGATCTTAGAATGAAGAAGGGGTATAAGCCCTAAGGCTCCAAGTGCATGCTGAGATGGTGTGTTGGGGTGTGTTGGGAGGGTCTAACTACCTTCTGAGCTTCAGCCACCCTAGGTCAAACTCCCAACACACACACATATATATATATATATATTAAATATGTATCACATGTATGTATATTGTATGTATATTATACATGTATGTGTAGATATATAAATATAAACCTAAAAGAAACACATTCACACCCAAAGCCCCTGCAGCTCAGGGGCTAATCTCTTCCCTGAAACGCAAGGTGATCGGGGCGACCGTGAGACGACTGACAGACCGCCCCACAATGCAACAGCGGGGACGAATTGGGTGGTTTTATCTACCAAGGTGCTGAGTAGAGTTATAAGCTCTTTCCAAGTGCATTGGGTTAGCTTAGGTAAGCTGGGAAACCTAAGCACCTCCCAAAACTGTACAAAGGCAGCCTGCAAATGGAGGCCCAAATGGAGGCTCTTCCATTCAGCCACACGAGTTCGATGCCGATACAGCTTGCAACAGCTTGCAACAGCAACAGCCAACAACCACCTACAGCCAACATGGAACCAGTATGAACCACTCTAACATCCTCATTGGCCCACTCCATGCCAAGAAGCACCCCCCCACATCGCCCCCAAATCAAGACCCAGCCAGGGCCACTCTGGCGGAGCCTCAGCCCTTTTTGGCCACCCGTTGAATCTACCGGGCAAAGGATCCACTCTTCCTGGGTAGGTTGAACTCATCATGACTACAGGTCCAGTCTGACCCAGCAAAAACCTGGTCCTGAACACCTCATATGGTGTCATTGGATGTAATTAGTATATTATATCATTCGTGCGTTTCAACCCACACCGCCCAGGTTACAGGAAGGAATTGTTTTAAAAGAAAAATCACTTGGATTATAGGACTACCTTAACAAACAGGCCAGTTTGTATGATCAAAATCCATCAAAATCCAGTAAAACGAAAAGTTTCGTAGACAGTGGAGTCGGGTGATTGGGATCACCTTACTCCCCCAGCCCGTTGATTGGCAGATTTTGGGGGCTTGGTTCGCAGCTAGCCTTTCATAACTTTCATTCGCTGGAGTGGAGCGGGGAACCCTTCAAGTAGCCAGCTGCCAGAACCATGTTCTTAGCTGGCACGAGGCAAGTTCAAGCCTCACAACTCTTAGAGTAGCTGGTGAGGCTGGGGGACTCATCTGTAGCCCTTTCCAATGGAGCCCATGAGTTCAGTTGATTATACACACACTACAGTGGCTTCAGACGTTCGATGGCACTTGCACCCCAAAGTGCCTTTCATATGAGCGTCCATAGAAACCACCCAACTTAGGGTAACTTGTGCCATTGAACTTCTGACCGCCCCCCTGTAACTACTGAGGTGTCCACGCTCGTCAGGAACCAGAAGGTCCAGCCCTGGGTCAACCACAACCAGCTTTTGGAGACCACACGTCACCTGCGTTTCCGACCCTCCACGGTGGTTTTTCCTCTTCTCCGCCCCTCTCCCACCAGCCGCGCGCGGCCCAACCCGCCCCACTCCACCTGCTGAGCCGATCGTGGCGCCACTCGCCGGAGGAGCCGCGGCGCCGGGGCGGACGCTCGGCCTGAAACCTGAAGGGAACTGGTTCGGGCGGGCGGTGCTGCGCTGGTCGTAGAGGTCAGGAGTTACAGCGAACAGGGCACCGGTAGAAGGGTAGATCTGTTAAACTCTCGGGTCTCAAGTTCGATCACGTTCAGTTCCTGGTAGTTCATGAGGCCTCGGGTGTTGGATGATTTTGGATGACGGCAGATTGGCGGATTCGCTGGTCAGCGCGGGAAATCCTTTTTCGGGATCTTCAGGGCCACATCAACAGTGGCGGCCATAGTATACTGTATACCCAAGTATAAGACATGGTGTCACCAACTTGAGGCCCAAAATGCTACCAGCGCCACCCAGTCTGGGTGGCTATGGACTAGAAAAAGTACATGGTACGCCTTGGATCTATACACCACCCCAAATTGGGTGGTGCTGGCAGTCTGCCTGTGGTGATCTGTGGGGCCTAACTGCGTCATGTGTGACATGACATGGCTCACCCCGTGGCTCTGTGGTTCCACCACACCCTATATACGACCTAAACGTGACTTAACACACAAACTCAACAACTATAGTTCCCAGATATAATACGTGCGTTTGTATACCCATACAGTACCCATACACTCCATGTATGGAATATATGCTTACATTGACCCCCCAAACCACCCCAATGTAGGCATATATGGCATACATGGAGTGTCTGGGATACAATATTCACCCTCCCCCCACCAAACAATGAAGCACACAAAGATAAAGGCACCGAATTCTCCAGCGAGGCCCCAACTTCATGTAGTCGCTATCCTTGAAGACCTCCTCTAAGTCGCAGGTCGGCACCTTGATCTCCGTGTTGCGCGACATGCGCTGGGCAGTGGAGAGGCCATGGAGATCCATTGGATGTTGTTTGCTATTTTTGGAAGCGAAGCCGGGACGAAACATTTTTGACATCTTGTCTCGTATCATTATGGCTTTTCCCCGGGTAGCCCGGGAAATTCACTATGAATTCACCCAGTGGCGCGCGCCCCCCCCCCAAAAAAAAAGAATGCATCCTACCAGCACCTTCAAAGGGGTTACCTGGCTGAAAGCCCCTACACTACTAAGGGACCTCCAGACAGGACACCCCTTGAAGGTCCAGGTATATAAGTCTATCAACAAAACCCGGCCCCGTAAGGTTATGTAAGGTTCACTCACTGTGCAGCTGAACGGTGGCTTCGGGCAGCATGGAAGCCGCAGGAGTGTGAAGGCCATGCGACCGTTTTCGCCGCGACGGAGATCGTGTGGTAGTGTAAGTGGTAGTGTGAAAACGTCCTCATTAAAAAAAAAGGTTGTTCGCGATGTTGCCAATTCAATTTAATTCATGGTGGTTGGAACCCCAGGGTAAAAGATTGTATATAACATTATATAACAGTATTCTCCAGAAGGGGATTCACTCATAATGTCTCATAATGAAAAGTGCTCCTAAACTAAGCGAAAACCAAAAACAATCGTTGCTGGGTCCATGGATCAGCAGCATATTCCACGCACAGTCCCTTGGATACAAACCGAGTATATAGTGTGCTTTGAGATTCTTCTGGGTAGAGGATGTCTTGCATCCAGGTTCCAACCAACGAGCAAGCCAGGATTTCCCATGGACTGTCTGCGACTTGTTGGCATGAGCTATCATGAGCTATCCTGCCAGGACTCTCCTTGTGCCACCAGAGTTCCAGGTGACAAGTTTGGCCCACTACATGCCCAAAGCCTGGCCTCGTGGGGGGTCCTTGTGCATGTACGCAACCCACCGAAGGACCTCCCCGTGACCTTACCGCCCCGCAGGGGGGTTCTCCTCGGCACCCCCACGCGCGTTCCAAAGATGGTATCAGCATCGATGTCTGGCAAAAGCGGATGAACGAAGCGGAGGCGGATGAAACACGTTGGGAGCACTTGCAAGATCTGCTCGCACTTTGGGAGAACACTTGATGACACTCAGACAAGATCTTTTGAAGTTTGAAGCTTTTGAATGCTTTTGATATATAAACTACCTGGAGTTTAGGAAATATGACTCGGCAGAAATGACATGGTCCGATCAAAAATGCGACCTTGGACCTTTGCATCTTATGGATGTGATGGCATGAGTCTGGCACTCAGCTGGCTCTGAGCGCTCAGCACTTCTCCCACAGATTTAGTACCTGCTAACTCTGTGATCAGGCTATATGGTTGTGATGGCTGTAGGTTAAGGCGA